CTCTTATATCGGAAATAAACATATGAAATTCTTATGTTGATATATTTTCAATATTGTACTTCTACTTTTGTCTTTTTTTCCTATTTAAAATTATTAAATATAAAATGATTGGATCTAATTTAATTTTAATAAAAGTAATAAAAAATAATCTACCTCTTTACAAAAGCAATATATTTTTTCCGTCTAGAATTTTGGGTCTAATCATGCAGTAATGGGACAATTTTATTTTAATGAATCACACCATGTATATTTGGGCCATTTCGGTTGTATTAAAAAAAATTGGTTAATTCTTATTTAGGGAGGTTAATGCTCTTAAACTTTTTTAACAGTCGTAAATAAATTTTGAATAATGATAACTATAAATACATTCAGGATAATGATAACCGTAAAAAGCAAAAACTAATAATAATAAAAATAATATAACAACACTAATAATATTTGTGAAAGCAAAATAAATAATAACATTAATGAGAACTATTGTAAATGCGACTAGCCCACTAAGCACATCTCCCTGCACGTCCTTACTTTAAGCAATAGTTTTAAAAACTGGACCGGACCCCCCGGTTGGGACCAAGATCCGGAGGTCGAATCGGTCCAATCCGGCCCTTTGAACCGCTTCATGCATTGATCCACTGCAAACCGGTGTGAATCGGTAAGAATCAGCCGCTTCATCCGGTCGAACCAATTTTCCATTTTTTTTTGCAAATTCGACCAAAATGTTTATTCCTCCACTAAGGTACCGCTTCATGCATTGATCCACTGCGAACGGGTGTGAATCGGTAAGAATCGGCCAAAATTCATATTATATATATATATATATATATATATATATATATATATATATATATATATATATATATATATATATATATAATATGTTTAAACCACTGGTTCAACCAGTGAACCAATATCTGGACCGGTTCGGTCTCTGGCCCGGTTTTTAAAACTATGCCTTTAAACTTCCCTTGTATAAGCTATAAAAAAATTAAAAATTTAATAAATACTAATCATGAGAATTGTAAAAAATACTAATAATGAGAAGGATTAAGTTATGTCTACCCTAACATTTATACCCCAATTTACACCCCGCAAGTTTGCATTCACATTTTGTGTTGGTGTAAAACTAATTTTTGTTAATGTACCAATACTTTGTGTTCGTGTAAATTTTTGTTAACGCACCAATATTTGTGTCGCTGTAAACTTTCAAAATATTTGTCCATAACTGTGGTTTAGAAATGATGTACATTTTTGTGTGTAGGTGAGGCATATTCTTAATGAGAATTGCTTTGAACACTACACTCCACTAACGCGCATCCTTTGATGATGATGATGATGATGATAATGATAATGATGATGATAATGATGTTGCTAAATTCACCCTCCAAAATCGCTATATCCATACTTTTTGCTAATATTTGCTATTTTCATACCCATCAATATAAAGTTTATATTGGTGTGGATTTAGCAAATTTATGTGAAAATGGTGGATATAGCTATTTTTGGGTGGATTTAGCATCACCCTAATAATAATAGTAATAATAATAATAACAACAACAACACGTATAATAATTAAAAGTAACTATAAAAAACTGTGAAATGAATAACTGCTCAAATAACATGATCTTCCTTTACACTGGAAATAAGGGACAGAAAATAAATATTTTTTCCATCACAAAATGTTTGCCACATTTGGTTTTTTGATAGTCACAAAAACGTTTATTTATTTGTATATTAGTTATTTGATAAAATAAAATAATTTTGACATCTCTTATTTTGAAAAACTTTTCACGTAGTTTTTTAAACATATAAATTAAATTTTTTATTTTTATATCAATATTTAAATAAAATTAATTGAAAAATCTAGATGTTTTACCTTGTTTTTAGAAATGTGACAAACATTTAAAGACGGAAGTATAGTAATATTTTATAAATAATAATGGCAACTACATCTAATGCATCTAATGCTACACATGCATAACCCCGGCGCCATCAACTTCCTAGGAGTATTATAAATTGAAGCTATAAGCCGTGAAGGAGTAGGTTCATCATAAATCACAAATATTCGTACTTGAGCAATGCTACGTTCACAAACAGGACACTCACAAACTTCACAAACTTACTATTTATGGTTTAGATTTTCATTTTAAAATTATTTTAGATTATTTAATTTTATTTATTGAAGTTCACAATTAGTAACTTTGTGAAGTTTGTGAACATTTTATTTGTGAACCAAGCATTTCCCTTCGTACTTAGTTTCTGCCATCAACACTTGAAAAGGCGCTAAGATGTAGAGCTAGTAAATTGGTCAATAAGATTGACTTTGGGTTGAGTACTGGATATTAATGACTCATTGTTATCAGGTTTGAATCGACCCAACGGGTTTTGACTTTAGTTTTTAAAATTTTTAAATTCACATAACACTTACATTGTCTATTAAATAAATTTAAAATATAAAAAGAATATGTATTAAATCTATTAGATTAGTCTATTTTAAATGTTGAATTTTTTTAGATACATAAATCAATATAAGGAATTTAAAAAATGTTTAAATTTTAGAAAAAAGTAAGATAATTATGCAATATCATTAAAATTCTGTCTAAAAATATAAATTTATAAATTAAAAACAACTAGTCAGGTCGGGTTTGACCCATTTTTAACTTGTCATTTCGGGTTTGGCCAACTTCAGATTCGGTCATCAAAACATTTTTTCAAAACCCAGTATTTTCAGATTAGGTTTCGAGTCACAAACAGATCAGGTCTTTTTTGCCAGATGAAAACCATTAAAAATCAATGTCGAAATATGGCCGCTTCTTAAGAACGTTAACAACACAATGATTAATGTGACACTTTGTGTGAGAGGTCCCCTGTTATCATGTTTCATACTTCTTCCGTTCCCAATTTGATTACAAATTGTGGGTTACGGAGTATAATTTTACTTTTTTAAAAAAAATTATTTACAAATTTGTACATCAATAAGATATAAAAATTACATATTAAAAAATCACGTCAAAAATTCTACAAAACAAGAGATGACATGATCATTTTATTTTATCAAATACTTAATGAATCGCGTAAACAAACAAAAGTTATCGAAAGGAAAGAGAAAAAAATTGTAATCTATTTAAGGACGGATGAAGTAAAAACAAGTATTTAGATCTACTCATTGCATTTTTTTAAAATCTATTGAAAAAACTATGACATCTAAAATACACACAATCATTGAAATGATACTTGTTGCAAACGATTTGGGTGAAAACTAATTTGATAATACTAAAAATTTGATTTGTTTTAAAATGTAAGATGTACTCTAGTTTTCTTTAATATTGCTATAGTTACAAACAAAATACTAATAAAATACACAAACTTACCAAATATGCAAAATAATAGTTTCAAATAATGGTCAATCGCTAGAAATCTAAGCTTTTTTAAACCAAAAATACAAAAAAAAATGTACTGAGTTATAAAAATAAAAGTTTCATTTCAATGGAAAAATATGGAGTAAATAAATTAGTGCCATTGTGTAGAATCGGTTATTGTTCAATTTCACAAATGTCAAAATATTATTTTGGAATAAGATTTATTACCAGAATATCGATAATTGTAAAAAGTAATTAGTGTCGCTCCTAAAAAAATACTTAAAATTGGTATTATCCAGAAAAACATTTAAAAAATATTTATTTATTTGCTAAAAACAAATATTTTCTAAAAAATTCGTTAGGTAACCGTTAGCATTCTAATAGTAACCTAAAATTCACTCACATGGGGAAAGGTGAGATTATTTTCTGTGGCATTGAAAAAATGAAAAGTAAGATTAAGAACACGAAAAAATGGAATTATTTTAGATAATTTTTCTTTTATTTTTTTGCACGGTCTGAACATAAGTATGTTATTGTACCGTTCCATTTCAAAATAAAATGATATCGAATAGTTTTGGAATTCATGTCATACCGATAACGAACCATTTAAATAAAATCAATTCGTGAATCGTTATAGGTTATAATTGTATTACGGGCCCTATCCACGCTCAACATTTAAGAACAGTGCAAGGACAAGGACAGAACGATAATAAGCATACCTCAACCGCTTAAAGCATTAGCTATGATAAGACAAAAATGAAATCTCACATGGTGACATGAAATATTCTAACTAATAAAAAATAATCCAGTCACCGTGTGCCAAGTGAGTGGAGTGTCATAACATACAGTGATATGTCATTGTTTTTGTCTATTTTTACACTTTTTTAATGATTTTTAACTATCAAAGGTTATTTTACACATCTATTTTATTATTAAAACATGTCTACTTCTTTTCAGAAAAGTTTCTTTTAAAAATTTTAAAAATTAAAAATATTAAAAGAATAAAAAATAAGAGTCATGTCTTGTAAATAGAATAAAAGTGGAATGGAATGACCATAAAATACCATATTTTGAATTGTATTTGCTGACATGACTATGCAAGACAAGACATTGTCTCCCTATTGCGAATGCTCCTACCAAAATAAACTTTGGATGAGAGGACTGGACTAAGCTTTACAATTACCCGTATTATATACAGAAAATTACTTACGGGTGACGAGTTTTGTCGAAATAACTCTTTGGTCCCTCTATTTTCAAGAAGACAACTGAGGTCCTTATATTTTATTGTAATGACAGGGAGGGAACATTTCATCCAATATTTTATCCATAAGTGTTAATAAATATATTTTTTCCTATTTTTCCATTACCGTTTTTTCCTATTTTGCAATTACTCGGTTTTTTCTTTTTTGGAAATTTTTTAATTTTATTTATTTTAATGTAATACAAATAATTTTGAAATTTTATATGATTTTATAGAAGAATTTCTAAAATAACACTTTAAAAAAGAGTAACAAAAAAAGAAAAACAAAGAAATAAAAAATGAGAGACCTGAGATTTATTACATTAAAACATTTAGAAAAAAATAGGAAAAAATACATTTATTAGTATTTATGGATAAAATATTGGGTAGAATATCTCCTTCTAGTCAATACAACAAAATGTAGGGACCTCTGTTATATTTTTGAAAATAGAAAGACCTTCGAGGAGTAATTTTTTGTATTATATTTATATCCCGCATTCAGCCACGGAATAAAACTATAAACAGAGTTTCTGGGCTTTTCTTCCCTACAAACTTCAAACTGGATTCCATGGGAGATGGAAACCGAGCTCAGATATATCACGAGAGACAGAGATTACAATTCTGCCTCCTACACACCCTCAATAATCTCTTTCAGGTATTTTTATAATTTTTAATCCCTCCTTTATACTCACTTTCCTTCTATACATGTTCCCAATTTAGCAAACCTTGAAGAAAATCATTGTATTCAGCAGAGCCCATTTCTCTGATTGCTAGAAACAATTGATTTTCTTCTTGATACAATTCGTCTCAATCTTGATCACAAAGACTTGAATTGGAATTTCATGATAGAAAAATTCACAAGTGTGGGACAGAATCATAGAATTAGGGTTTTGTGCCTGTTTCCTGAACTGAGACTACATTACTAAATCCATCTCATAAGAACAGTCATGTTTCTAAACTCCCTTTTTTGTCTCAAAAAGAGTTCAATTTTGAGCAAAATAAGCTGATAATCATCAAGTATAACGTATTTTTAACACGGCTATACTCGGTGATTATTACCTTCTTTTCAAATTGTGTGCTTTGGGTCTATACGCTAGTGTCTGTGTGTATGTTGCTCTTGATTTGTTCGTATTACTATGTGTACTTTGTTTCTGCACCTTTTTTTGAGCCAAGTGTCTCTTGAAAACAGTCTCTCTTTACCCCCCGATTAAGTAGAGTGTATCATATTCAGTTAACTCAACAATTAAATTTGATGGTGTGTCTATAATAGCTGAACTTCACTAACAAGAAAAAGCCATGGATTTAATAAAAGAAGACTCTGTTATGGGAGAGAGATAGTGTATGAGAATGGTGTGCCTATTAAAAGTTTGGTTTAATTCAGGACAAAGATGCATTTACCAGAGCTGATCTGAACTCCATTTCCGAAAGGCTGGGCCTTGATGATCCACACAAGGGCAATTGGTCCCTAACCTCTGCCATCTTCAAGCCTCACCACAATGTGATCACAGGAAATTATGACATAAATGTTTTAGTTGCAGCACTTGAAGGGAAAGGGAAGGGTGTGGTTTGGCACGGCCGGCGAGTTGGGGCTGGTGCAATTGACCTCGACGGTGAAATGATGGGTATTATAGTAAATTTACCAGTCCGAAGGTTTGCCGGCCTATGGAGAAGCAGGCATTGGGTTGCATTGAGAAGGATCGACGGAGTTTGGTACAATTTGGACAGTGATTTTTCTGCCCCTCGTGCCTTTAGGGACATAGAAGAGGTTAGGGAGTATTTGGATGGCATAATTTCTTCTGGTGCAGAAATTTTACTGGTTACTTGATGAGTGTGTGAATCTTTTGTGCTTAGGTTTTTGGAAAATTGTGGTTTATGAGATGGGGAATGTTTGGCTGTGTTGAATGTGGTTGAGAATTATCTTTAGCAACTTCTTGGTTTTGCTTTTATGTGTTCATGTTTTTGCCTCAATGCAGCAAACACACCCTCCTTGTAGCTGGGGGGTCTACTCTTAGGTCTATCGGGTTTGTTGTTGTTGCAACCAAACACGATGACCTAGTTGACTTTCTTAGTCAATTTTTTTCAACTTTGACCATCAATCACGGAAAAAATCATTGAATTGTCATATACATTCAAGATCAATAGGTCTGTTTTGGAGCAAAGTTTTGAAATATTATATTTTTCCAATATATTTATACTCCCTCCGTCCTAAAATTAACTTCTCATTTGATACTTTGACCATCAATATCTCAATTTTTATATAAATAAATTTAATAAAAATTACTCCTGTATATATTTTAAAACTATATTTCAAAATGAATCTATTCCTAATAAATTTATATGAAAATTCAATGTATATTTTTCTTAATCTACGGTCAAAGTTTATAAAATTTGACTACAAAAATCAAACTAAAAAATTAATTTTAAGACGGAGGAAGTATATATAAATAGAGATATTAATAGTCAAAGTTTTACTTAGAAATTGTAAAATTAAAAAAAAAAAATTAATTTATCAAGAATTAGAGATAATAGTAGTCCTAAGAAGTGGAACTTGGGGTCCCACTGACTCTGATCCTCCAAAATGAGCGGGAAGGCGCACCTTTCTAGCTCCAACATTCGAACGGACATCTTTAGCCATACATGAAAATAATCCCAAGAGAATTCTTTCTTGGTTTAGTTTCAGATGCTAATGAAAAAAACATCGAACCATTTCATGATAATCGTACCTTAAGAGCAATTTGGTTTCAATGCATACACAGTTCGTTCCTTCAATTATATGATGATGATTATGATGTATAATAGCGTAGATCAATTAGGTTCTTAACTTCTTCATATTTAATCTGCAAAATGGGAATCTCTTCGGAGGATTTCCGGACCTGTCTATGGATTTTTCTGGAATTCTCTACGAGATTATGCTTCGGGTTTGTGATGGAACATCCATTGCATTCACTTGTTTTCTTGATCTTCATCATCTTCTATCTCTTCTTCTCCTCCCTCTTCTGGTTCTTGATTTATTCATTCCCTCTGTTCCTCATCTCCGGCGTCGTCGTTTTAGCCATTTACCGCCCCGGCACCGGCGATGACGCCAGAACGGAGAACAGGGTGGAAATCGCGGAGGAGGAACTTGGGAAGAAGAAGAAGAAATTCGTCGGCCGTGCTAGGTCGGTCAGGCGGAGGAGATCAAAGAAGGATTTCCAGCCATATGTTGAGGAAGAAGGCGTCCCCATTTTTCTGCCGCCGGGTTTCTGCGACGAACACCGCGTGTTCGACAAAAGTTCCCCGACAGAAGAAGAAGAAGAAGAAAAAGAAGAGGATGATCACATGAAGGATATCAGAGAAGTGGTGGAGGTTCAAGGAGGGGATTTGCAGGTGAAGCCTGCTGGTAGTTTTAGGGGGAGTAGTGGCGCCGTGCAATGGACGACGACGACTTGGGATCATGATCAGAAGAAAAATCCAATGGATCTCTCTGAGATGGAAAGGAACAAGAGGCTAGAGAGTTTGATGGCAAGAAGGAGAGCAAGGAGACTGGTGAGCATTCATGTGAGGAGGACATTGATGAATCTGGGAAGCGACGACCCTCCCATTTCCGTTGTGATCCCAAGAACCAATTCCTCTGGTTCATCCAACGGCGGTCTGTTTTCGCCGGGCAGCGGGGCACCCGGGTCCGCTCCCTCGGTCATGCTGCCCAACCGCAACCCCTTCGACCTGCCCTATGATCAGCACGAAGAGAAGCCGAATCTCAGCGGAGGCAGCTTCCAGCAGGACTTCATGGTTCCTCATCAAGATTTCGTGTTCTGCAGGCATGAGAGCTTCACTCTGGGTGCTGCTAGCGCTAGCTCTTTCTTTGCAGACTTCAACTCTGATGATGATCTTCATCTCCATAAAGTTTTTGAAGCTTCTGATAATTACAGATCAACAACTCCATATGGTAAGCAAAAAAACACTCTTTTAACTAACAATCCATGCCTTGGCGCTATCCCTTGCATTGCATATCTTTTAGGAAAATGGCATTTTAACACAAGAATTGGACACCATTGATGACACCAATGTGTCTTTGAGACATTCTACATATGATGACTGTCTGTGCAGATGATGCAGCTATATATAATGAGTGTCTGTGCATGTGTGTAAGAAAGAGTGGTGTCAATCTTATGCTTGGTGTCATTGTATTGAACTTGACACTTCTCCTAGCAGGTAAGGGAAGTGGTGATAATAAACTAGTAGAGCAAGAGCCATTCGAAGAACCAGAGAAGTTGAACGGTGCGAGTACCAGCGATGTGAAGGAAGCAGTCTCTGCTACTAGGTGCGAGGAAGACAACGGAGAAGTTCAAATAAAATCAGTACTCATTGAAGACACCGACATGGCGACTTCATCATCATCATCATCTTCTTCTTCTTCAGAATCTGAAGATGAGACCTTTTACAGAATTGATAAAGACACAATCTTGAAGTCCCTTGCTACGCCACCAGCTCCAAGAAACCAGAAGGCCCGAATGGATGAGAATTACTTCTTTGCCAACTTTGCCAAGTTCCCCACTCCAAGCCATTCCATTGCTTCTGACTTACAGGTGGAGGTTTCTGAACTCGGGTCGCCTCCAAGATCCGTTGATGGAACCTCTTCTTCCTTAGAGGAAGAAAACGACATTTTTGAGCCCTTTAAACCTAACAGTCTTGACAAGCAAGGTGCAGATCCAGACATTTTTGAAGCTAGTGAGGGTCCGGGTGACCTTGAAAGGTCGTTCTCGCCAGAACCCAGGGTTCAACAAGTTTGTAATGCAGGTTCTATTGAGGAGAGTCTAGAGACCGACGGACTGTCCAAACCAGAGATTATCACCCATTATTTGGAATCAGATGATCACTTGCTGAAGATGGACTCTGTTAAAGAAGAGACTGAAAGGCTGTCCGAATCGGAGAAGCCTGCCCTTAATCTTGAATCATATGATCGCGACGAATCCCATGTGGAAACAAGCACAAAAAGTCATAGGAACGATTTAGTGATTCAGGAGGAAGGGTAAAAAAAGTAAAGACAATGAGTTCTTGAAAGACAGCAGCAGAACCTGGAGGCTAATGAAGCAATGTGATTTTGCCTTGTGAATGTGGGTATAGTAAAACTAACCTTCAAGATTTATTCTTAACAAAGTTTTATGCATTTTGTATTAGGTTTTTATTCTTTTTTTAGAAGTATATAAGCAGTGAGAGCCTTGTCTATTTGGCTTCAATTTTGTTGTAAATTGTAACACATTTTGAACTAATGTTAGCTCTAATGAATGTAAAGAACATTGAGAAGAAGAGTAGGTTACAGCATTATCAGCTTTATTCATGATCTTTTCAATATTTTCCAAAATATATCATGTAAGCTAGGTCCAACTATGAAGATAATGAAAGTTTCTTATTTATTGACCCTAACCAACCCATCACTTAACTATAAGACATGACCAATATAGTGCAGACCATTGGTAGAATACTGAATAAGGCCTTGAATGGTTGTTCTTGACAATATTGCTTGTTGGGTTTATCACCGGAAATCCATCCGATCCGAACACGCAATTTTCGTGACAAATAATTTTTTCAAAAAAAAAAAAGTTTGTTCTGACTTCTTTTGTATGTGGCCGTTTTCTAATCTCTGTCGAGAAAGTGCGAAAGAGGGTAATGTCTGAGTTTGACTCATGACAACATCGATAAAAACGACCATGCGTAACGTCGTGTCTTCTTATGTACCACAAGCATTACTCTTTATTTTCCAAGATTAAAACTCAATTTATCGTCTTCCAATAGTTCCAAATCATATTCGAGGAGAGTATGAGATTCTATCTTCTTTTTTTCTTGAACGTGGCCTCTAGTCTCTACCAAACACATGCCTAGGGAACAATTGACCCGTTTAGCATGAGCGTTACATGTTAGCATTAACGTTTAGAAAAGATTCTCTGACGGTAGCCTTAAGCGTCAACACTTTCATAATAAATCTACACCATTAAAATTTTATCTAAAATGCAAACGCTAATTGAAAATGATATTTCTAAGGAAGACCAATAACATGGAGTAAATGAAAGAAGTATGATAAGGCCGGGAACAAGTTGAAGAGACCACTCCTCTAGTGGATCCCAAAGTATGGAGGGGAATCCCTCATATGCGTACTCATGTCGGGAGTTTGTTGAAAACAGAAAGTGAAAGTTGGATTGTAAACCATTAGTCTCTCCGTTTCAAAATTTAAGCAATATTTTGAACGACATCTAAAATATCATCTCTTTTAAAATTATTTTATTTACATATTGGTAGAAAAATAAAAAGTAAAAACTACACCGTTCAAAAATATATCAAAAATTTTACAAAACAAGATATAACAAGAATGTTTCATTTTATCAAATAATCAACTAAAACGAATAAACAAACAAAAGTTATCAAGAAGCGAAATAATAACTGTTGCTTACATTTTAGGACGTAGGATGTACTTTATACGGATTACCGTATTTGTTTATATTTGAGTTTTTTCAGTCCATCATGATTGACATTTGACGAATAGTTAATTAAAAATTATACGGAGTATGTTACTCCCTCCGTCCTAAAACTTTCTTTCCAGAGCACTATTCTAACTTCACGAAAATTTATATTTATTTGTGTTTTTTCATGGCCTATATTTTAAAATAAAATATTCTTGTCACCACTTGTTTTGTTGAATTTTTGATGTAGTTTTTAAATATGTATGTTTTATTTTTCATTTCTATACCAATATTTAAATAAAATAGATTAAAAAAACTTGAATTTTTCTTCGTTTTGCGCAACGGGAAGAAAGATATAGGACGGAGGGAGTATATTAATTGGATAACTTATATTTTGAATACATTTTACAGGATAAATTCAACAAATAATTTTTGTGGCAATATCTAGTTTAACTTTTGTTTAATTAAAATACAAATTTAACAATTCTAACTACAAAAGTTCAAAATTAAATAAATATTTTGGGACAAAGATAATATATGTTACATTATGGGGCATTCGAATGAGCTTTGATCACCCTCACCCTCCTTCATGCCACTCTCGCATAACACACTTATTATGATCCGATATACACTCGTTTTAATCAATCAAAATAATCACACCTTTATTTATCACTTGGTAGCCACGCGAGATGGCTATTTAACACAATTTATGAGCTTTGATATCCTTATTGAATAAATTAAGATATGCTCATTCTAGCTGTATGTGATGCCAACTTTCACCTCACTTTTTCATAAAATGTCATTGAGGAAAGTTGACTGAGAGTTGTTGACCCTCGCATTGTGTCCTCGTGAGTAGGATGCACCCTTTTTCTACACTTTGTCCCAAAAAGGTAGTCTTATTAAATCCCCCTAAGATGTTCTCATTTTGACTTTTGGTGATTTTTAAGGAGAGTTGAAAAAAGGTGAAAGTTTACCATAATACCCTTAATGAAAAATGGGTGGAGTGTATTAAATGAGGTGGGTGAGGTGTAATAAATAAAGTAAGTGAGGGTAGTTGTGGTATTTTATTTGTTAAAAATTGAAATGAGAAGATCTATTGTGGACATAGAAAAAGGGCTATTGAAAAGATCTATGAGGGACGGAGGGAGTATATTAGTATTTTGATTTTTTTATTTGTGTATTTTCATCGATGGTATGATTAAATAAATTATAGTTATCATACCTTGTCTTGTAGAACTTTTGATGCGTTTTTAAATCTGTAATTTATACTTTTTTTATTTATATAACAATTTACTTCCTCCGTCTTAAAACTTTTTTCCCAGAGCATTATTTCAACTTCACGGGAATTTATATTTATTTGTGTTTTTTCATGACCTATATGATAAAATAAAATATTCTTGTCACCACTTGTTTTTTGAACTTTTGATGTAGTTTTTAAATATGTATGTTTTATTTTTTATTTCTATACCAATATTTAAATAAAATAGATTGAAAAAAACTTATGATTTTTCTTCATTTTGTGCAACGGAAAAAAAGATATAGGACGGAAGGTGTATAAATAAAATAATTTCAAAATTGATGAGATTTTGTATGTTACGGAGTATTTGAAGTGAAAGTATAATCATGGGATGAGAGAATATTATTTATTTATTTTATTCATGCAATTGCACATGGCCAATTTGCTCCAATCAGTTCCTCTTTCTTGGAAATAGCACAATCCAATTGGCCTAAACTTTAAAATTCTAAGAACAGTTCGATGGAGTTTTAAATTATTAATGAATGCTCGTAGATGTTTCAGTGCAAGCTTAGTGATCGATTATCAGGCAATTAAAATTTGAAAAATACATATGATTTGGGCAAATGGCACCCCGTAGTAATTAAAAAGATGGGATATGCTCTCACACTAAAAAAAACATAACTCCAAACATCGATGCCGACTTTTCCAAATAAGAGATGATTTTCTGACTTTTAAAATATCTTCCATCCTATAGATTTTTTCAAAGACAAAAAAACATCCACCTTAAAAATAAGTAATTTTGATGAGTGCTTTTTTACTGCACCTTGGGTACATATTATTTTTATAGATTTTTCACATCTTTTTTTTAAAAAAATATTTGTTTAGGTTGATAAAAAAATACTTATTTTGCTCATATGCAGGTCTATGCTGGACCTAAGGTCCACAATAGAATCTATCAATTTTGATATTATTTTCTAATTATGTCATTACTTTAAAATAAGATAGGATGTGGCGTGCAATAGAGATGAGTTATAATTAGAAAATAGTATCAAAATTACTCATTTTTAAGGCGCATTTTTTTTGTCTTTATAAAGTTTTATAATGTAATTAGCAACCGAATAAATCATTAAATATTTTTTAGAAGAATAATACGGAGTATATGGGATCAAAAGGTGTGAACATTTTTTACACTAATGAGAAACAAATCATTTGGTAGCCTCATTTAATATTTTAATTAAATTCATTTTTGAATAATTTATTTAATTAAAAAGACAAATATTTTCAAACTGCAAATAGAGGGTTTCGATATCTCTCAAATATGTGAAATATTAATATGGGCATTTGATATTCCTCTCAACTATTGATCATTCTCCATTACCGGCTACAATTGTCATGCATTGTCAACCACCCCCGTAGTCGGTTGGTTGTCCACGCTTATCACTAATTAAATCATGATTTTAAATATTTTTGAATAAATTTGATCCGTTTCAGATTTCAAAACCCATATTATTTTTCTTAAATTTCATAAATCATATCTTATCATATTTTCAAACTCACCAAACGAACTTTAATAACTTAGGTAGATATTTTGGTTTTAATCCTCCAAATTTAGAAAATAAAACTCATTTAGTACAAACATCTATTTTTTAAGTTAATAAAATTCAAAAGCCGAACTACACTTTGGATACATTTCACTTCATTAATGAACCTATGAGAGATGACAAATTTAGCGATTATTTGTATTTAATCCTATCATATCCATCTTCTAATGGTGCAGATACATTTTCTATATCATCTTGTCAATTGGGTGTTTTTTTTAATTCTCTCTCACAAAACATTATACAAAGTATTTTATTATTTAAATGTTTAATACTCCGCATTTTTTTTCTACTTATTTTATTATTCGTTTTATTTGGAGTCTCATTTTGAATTTTTTTTTTCTAAATTTTTTGCAAGTAGAACAAAGAAGATTTTTTATTTTGTTTTTTGAAAAAAAAATTAATTATGTTTTTATTCATACTACCTCCGTCCCGCTATATTCGTCCAGTTTTGACTTTTGGAACTGTTCATCTAAGCACTTTGACTTATCAAATTCTCTCAATGTGTAAGCCTAAATATAGTCATGTGTGATCTTGTTTGATTTGTCTTAACATATAGATTATTAATATATAATTTCTATAATTTTTTAATATACAAATTATAAGATAAAATGGATTAAAGAAGTGCATTGGATGGTGTGCAAAAATGAAAGTGGACAAATATAGTGGGACGGAGGGAGTAATCAATTATTGAATATTCCTCCACGTCAGGGCGGAAATGAGCGGGTCCCGCACAAAGCGCGCCCTATAAAGCTGCCAGATCAGCTCACTCTTCGTCGTCTCCATGCTCCTGCCTTTGACTCTCCTCCCCACCTTCCGGCTTCCTCTCATCAGAAGTTACAGACGCAATTCTGTACCTCCGGCGAGCCAGATCGGAGCGACGGGGAGAGGAAGAATGACGGCCGGTGGCTTGTACAAAGACCCAAATGCCCCCGTCGAGGAGAGAGTCAAAGACCTTCTCTCAAGGATGACTCTCCCGGAGAAAATCGGGCAGATGACTCAGATCGAACGCGCCGTCGCCACTCCCTCCTCCGTCACCGGCCGTTTCATAGGTACAGTACCCCGTCGATCGTTTCTATTTCCGTACTGTTGACTCTACTTTCCCTTTCCATATAATCGCCGGATTTTTATTGCTGCAGGGAGTTTGTTGAGCGGAGGGGGGAGTAAACCGTCAGAGAATGCGGCGTCGGAAGAATGGGCCGTCATGATCGACAGATTCCAGAAGGCGGCGATAGAGACCCGGTTAGGCATTCCCATTCTCTACGGGATCGACGCCGTACACGGGAACAATAATGTTTATGGCGCCACCATTTTCCCCCACAATATTGGGCTTGGAGCTACTAGGTATACACTGACCTCCTTCATGGTGAAGATGATGAATCTGTTCTTTTCAATAGAAATTTACTGAACTGAATTAAATTGGACTTAATTTAGCTGAATTGTAAAGACATTTGGAAGTTGTAATTTTGGCTTGAACCTGGCTAGACTGAATTGAATCTGTCCCTAAGAAAAAAACTAGACACACAATGCCTTAAGGTAGTGTTTGGATACTATCATTTTATTTCAATTCCATAACATGAGTTCTTGATTTTCAAATGAAAACGAGAAGTATATATAATTTCTAATTGAATGTTGTTATGAATTTGACACAAATCCAAATCCAAATTTTCAAGATTCCCAAACATAGAAGTCGAGTCAAGTCCGACTTTGATATCCACATTCAAGTTCCCAAACATGACATAAAATTTCTGGTTTATTGCATTGAGAATTTAAAATCTGAAAAATGATTAGCCTATATGATATGCAGGGATGAAGATTTAGTGAGAAGGATAGGGGAAGCAACAGCTCTTGAAGTAAGGGCAAGTGGAGCTCAGTTTGCTTTTGCTCCATGTGTGGCTGTAAGTCTTTTTTTTACCACACTCATACTTTCATATAAACTGAATCGAAAGTAGTTTCTGTCAAACATTGTAAATTCAAACGGGAACCTTGTTTTGGGACCATGGTGGATAACAGGTCAGCAGAGATCCTAGGTGGGGAAGATGCTATGAGAGTTATGGTGAAAGCACAGAGCTTGTTAGAAAGCTAAGCTCACTTGTCACTGGCTTGCAAGGGCAGGTGCCCCAAGGACATGTCAAGGGCTACCCTTTTGTTGCTGACAGGTCGGCACAACAACAACAACCCTTTACTTCTCTTATTCCACTAAAATGGTCTTTTTTGGTATTGGGCACCTTCGAAAGGGCCTCGTAGTAATAGAGTTACATGATCTTTTATGACAATTTTTTTTAATTGTCTTGTCCAGAAATAAAGTTGTGGCGTGCGCGAAGCATTACGTAGGGGATGGGGGGACAGAGAAAGGAATAAACGAAGGAAATACCCTTACATCGTATGATGAACTGATGAATGATCACTTGGCACCATATCTGGACTGTTTGTCCCAAGGAGTTTGCACCGTCATGGCATCCTACTCCAGCTGGAATGACAGCAAAATGCACACCGACTATCACCTTCTCACCGAGATTCTGAAAGAAAAACTCGGATTCAAGGTAAAATCATACATTTGCATCTGTTTGAATTGAATCAAACCGATTGTCTTGTTAAATTTATACTTCTGCTGAAGTTATCCCACATTGGCCAAATATGAATGAATGAATCCATTTGTAGGGTTTTGTGATATCGGATTGGGAAGCGCTGGATAGGCTAAGTAACCCTCACGGCTCGAACTATCGCGAATGCATCTTATCCTCAATCAATGCTGGAATAGACATGGTAGAAATTGAAGATTGAGAGCATCATTGTTATACGCAGCCTAATTTAAAAATGTCTATATTAACCTCATCATAATTCTGATTGTGTTTTTTGCAGGTTATGGTGCCTTTCAGGTTTGAGTTATATCTGGATGAGCTGTTGTCTTTGGCAGAATCAGGGGAGATTCCCATGAGCAGGATTGACGACGCGGTCGAAAGAATCCTCAGGGTCAAATTCGTCTCCGGAATTTTCGAGCATCCTTATGCTGATAGATCTTTGTTACATGTGGTTGGGTGTAAGGTATTAAATCAAATCCCCTCTTTACATCTGACCAAATATGAATGAATGAACCCGTTAATAAGTCGGATCACTGAGATTGGTTTTGCCAAAAATTGTGAATAGGAACACAGAGAGGTAGCGCGGGAAGCGGTGCGCAAATCCTTGGTTCTATTGAAGAATGGGAAGAGCCACAACAAACCATTTCTTCCCTTGGACAAGAATGCCAAAAAGATCCTTGTTGCAGGTACCCATGCTGATGACCTTGGTTACCAGTGTGGAGGCTGGACTTCTTCTTGGACTGGTTCTAGTGGCAAAATCACCATTGGTGAGTTTTGCTTTTGAGTTGAAGTCACTTTACAAAATGCGAATGAAAAACCGTACTTAATCAGTCAAATCACGGTAAAAGATTGAATCCAATAGCCTTATTAATCCATTACTCTCATCACAGGGACGACCATTTTGGACGCGATAAAAGAAGTGGTGGGAGATGAGACAGAAATAGTGTTTGAGCCGAACCCTTTGCCAGAAACCATCGCCGCTCAAGATTTCTCATTTGCCATTGTGGCTGTTGGGGAGACGCCGTATGTTGAGACCGGGGGAGACGACCCGCACCTCAAAATCCCACTCAACGGTCCGGAGATAGTGAGCATTGTTGCGGACCGGATCCCGACGGTCATGGTTCTGGTCTCGGGTAGGCCCATGGTCATAGAACCGGAGGTATTGGACAAGGTTGAGTCCCTAGTTGCTGCTTGGTTGCCCGGATGTGAAGGAAATGGTATAACGGACGTTCTCTTTGGGGACTTCCCTTTTCAAGGCAAACTGCCCATGACATGGTTTAGAAGCGTTGATCAACTGCCCGTACATGCTCGGACGGAGCCCGTAGACCCGTTGTTTCCTTTCGGGTTCGGGCTGACAACATGAATGAATGGAAGAAGAAAGATGAGATATATTCTCTCAATGAAAGAGTATATGTCATGGAATAATAGGGTTATTGTTTCAGTTGGTAGTGATTTCCCAACTGCATTTATTATTGCATTTAAATACAGTAATATTGATAAATGTAATCATGTATAAGCCATTTCATGCTATGTTATTGTTACTAGTATTCTATACTCTGAACTCTAAACAAACATTGACAAATTCCACGTACTTATTTAATTTGTACGGAGTATAATTTTTCTATAGTTTAACCCCTTATTTTATAATATAAAAAATGAATTGTACTTTCATTATACTTAAAAATTCAAACTAATACGGAGTATCTTTATTTATAAGAGAAAATATATGAAGTATATAATCCATTCTTTATTGGGTTTTTAGGATGCACAACAAAGAAAGTGCCCTAACAAATAATTTTGGATAGAGGGGTAAGCCACATGAGAACTTTGAGAGAGACAGAAAAAAGTGAAAGATAATTAAGGAATAAGGGTCGGTTGTTTGGTATACAGAATTGATGGAATTGGAATTCAAATTCTATAGAATTCAATTCCATAGAATTGAATTATTTCAATTTCAATTCATTTTTTGCATTATCCATTCCAAATCCACATAATTTTTGTACTACCAAACACCAGAATTGGAATTGAAGCCCTCAATTTCAATTCCATAGTTTGAATTTCGTGTACCAAACGGGGCCTAAGAGTAACATGAAATATTATAAAGAAGAAAGAGTAATACTCCCCCCGTCCAACAATAAAGTTCTCATTCACTATTCACAGGATCGAATTTTATTCACTTTGTTGGCCTATTTTTGTGTCTTATTTGATAAAATAATATAGTCATGTCACCTCTAGTTTTGTAGATCTTTTCATGTAGTTTTTAAATATGTAATTTCTATTTTTTAATTCCATACCATTTTTCATATAAAATGATTTGAAAATAATTTCAGTCAAACATCGTAACGCGCAATGGGAATTTTATTTGAGGACGGAGGGAGTATCAAATTAATACAAATAGACAAATATTGGTAATTTAAGAAGAATATATAACATCCTAATTTTTATTTAGTTTTTCTCAAAATTTTCTTCCTTTTCCTTTTTAAGAAAAAGAATAAATGGCTCATACTATTAATTTGTTCAATAGTCACTACACAAACTGCAACTATAAAAATTATATGGAGTACTTAATTAAAAATCATCCCAAATCAAACCAAAAAGAAATTAAAAAATAGAGAGAGTATTACATATAATGTAATTACAACATGCATTTCATTTTGCAAACCACATTTATTTATAATTTTTTTGAAATATAGAAACACATTTATTGGTTTATTAACATATGATGAAATACTGCAAGAAATAAGCCCACAAACTTAAAGCTCATAATTGGGAAGAAGATAGACTCGGGTCTTAACAACAGACCCATTAGCAAGCTTAAACCCGGGGCTAACCGGAAACCCAACAACGAGGCCCATTCCAAGTCTCCCTCCGAGCCCACTTGAGCACTTGACCACGCTCTCCATGTACTGCGCGTGGTACTTGGATCCCCGGTTCGCCTCGAAGTGACTCGGCGGCGGTTCGAGTGAAAACGCCAGCAAGTGCAGCAGCCAAACCGCCTTGGCCAGCCCCACAAACTCGCCGTAGAATTGACTCCTCGGGTGTTTTCCGGCGAGAACCTCCCGCCGCTGCTCCAAGTCTCCGAACAACGACTCCTCCATCTTTGGGTGGATCAGTGATAAGTACTTTTTGAAGCAGAAATTCCCGAAATTGCAGGTCGGGAGGACTCCCAAAAGGTCGACCGGATTCAGACCGCTCATGTCCCGGTACTGCGAGAAACAGTCCCGGCGGTGCTGGTCCGGGTGGAAGACGGTGCTGAACCGGCCGCCGCCGCCGTCCATGTTGAACGTCTCGTTGTCGAAGAACTGGAACATCTTCCGGTTCACGTACGATTCCAGGGCGTACTTCGCGTGGTTTGTCCCGACTATCGAGTCCACCGCCGTGACGGCGGTCGGCACCGCGGCGGAGTACGCCGCTTCGATGGATCTCACCGCCGCCGTGATGTCCCAGTTCGCCGACCTCATCAGGGAGAGAAGCGAACCCGTGAAGGATTTTGACGCTTGTTTGACCAAGCTCATCGTGCTCTCGAAAAGCTCCGGCGCCGGCGAAATCGTCACTGTTCATTAGAAAATTGAAAATTTTTAATTTTTGAACGATATGACGAGAATACCCTTACGAATTCCGTTACCTTACCTTGCGCTTGGGTGGTGCAGCTGACTTTCCGTTTGGACTTACTAGTAGTAACTTTCCTTCCGCAGTTGGCATGAGACGCCGTCGTTTTGAGCTTCTCCTTCAGAATCCCAAGCTCTGCATCTTTAGCCTTCAGCTTTCCCCTCAGTTCGTCCACCGCCGTCTCGTACGGAGCGACCACCTCCCTCAGCGTCGCCGCCCCGACTCTGCAGCGGCCCTTTCCGCCGCCGGCGACCCGCCAAAACCTCTCCCTGAGGTTCGCCAGCCTCCGGAGCTCCGACACCACAGCCACGTCGGCGACGCTCATCTTGTCGGCATCCCACGGGCAGTGCGCCTCCTGGAGGCTAACGTACGCGCTCTTCATCGCCAGGACGGCGTCGAAGACCTCCCCCATGATCATCTCCATCTCGATCACCCTCTCGGCTCTCGACGACTCCCTGCCGCCGCCGTCCTCCCAGAGATTCCGGTCTTGATCTTCTTGGTCGTCGTAGTCGTCGCCGTCATCGTCCAGGTCATCGTCGGAGTCAACTCCGGCGCGGCCGAGAGAGAGCTGGTCACCTTGGAATGGTTGGAGGAGGCAGGAGGAGGTGAACCTCTGTATGAGATGGGAGAAGTTGGAGACCTTGTTTGCCATCTTCTTGATTCCCCTGCGTACGTTATCAGGAACGTCTGATCTAATTAGTCTAAATTAGATTTTCTCCTCTTAATTTGTGTTCTCTATCAATACAACAAATTAAAATTTCAAAAGTTCTTAACCGAATAAATCTATTGAAATAGATTTTATACCGAGTATTAAAAAACATTACCCTTTTTATTTAATCCAAATTCATCATGTTTGACTCGAAAAATCAAACTTGACGAGTACACTGAGACGGAAGTAATAGTTATCAACAAAATAAATCTATTGAAATAATTTTTATACTAAAATATATTACAATTTTTATTTAATTAAAGTTCAAAATTTCTCGAATTTGATTAAAATTTTTAATATGACTTGAGGTGAGATTAAAAATAAAATTTACATATTTAAAAACAATAATAAAAACTCTACGAAATAAGTTGTTACATAAATATGCTCTCTCTCTCCTTAGAATTCTTTCACCTTTATTTTTTGTCTCAAAATCAAATCCATTTTTTATTTATAAATCGTTTTTACTCTTAGTTATTCTTATCTTATCTATGCATCAAATCTATTCTCTAATAATCTATCTATCACATCCTACTTTTACCTATCATATCTAGGATAATTTTAAAACTTAACACAAAAATATCTCTTCTTTTTTCGAAAGCAAAATATATAACTCTTCTTAAATCCAATAAAAATCCAATAAAAATCCAAATAAGGAAATTTAGGAACGAAGAGTGTTATTTTATCTACGACTAACGAAAATAGTTATAAAAAGTGAATAATACTGTAGTAAACAAAGAATTTTATTTGAGGAGGAAGTAATAGAGATAAGTAAACGATATGATCTCACTTATACTCACCTTGGGTGCATATCATTTTTGTAAATCTTTTCACATAATTTTTTTGAAATTTTTTTAAAAAATAAATGGTTATTTAAGTAGTAAAAAGTACGGAGTGCTTGTTTTGCTCATAAAATTTGCCTACTCACTAATAATGAGTATGAAATTTATACTCGTATTATCTCTCATGTTTGATCAGGAAGAACCCATTTTTTAACATTTTCTTCTAACAATAGTACAATATTTAGTTTTAATGTTTTTAAAATTAACTTACAATATTAAAATATTACTCCATCTATTCCACAAAACCCTTCCTCTTTTATTTTTTTTACTTTCCACAAGACACTTCCACTTTCTATTAAAAAACCACTTTTACCCCTATTTTTTCATACCCTACCTATCACATCATACTTTTTCACTGATAACCAAACTATCACATCTTACTTTTTCCCATCACATCAGGGACAAAATTGGAAAGTCAATCAAAATTACACTTTCCTCATTTTTTCGCAAAGTCAAAACCAGAAGGGTTTTATGGAATGGAGGGAGTAATTTAAAAATATGATAATACTTGAAAATGTTAAACTATGCAAATTAATCGTATACACTTTGTATTGCCTAAGAGCATGTTTGAAAATAACTTTAGATGTTAACATTAGCATTTTGAAAAGACTATCAATGAGTAGCGTTTAACGTTTTCAAATTTAATCTATACCGTTAAGATTCTATACAAAACGCTAACGCTATTCCCAAATCGACCCGGAGAGAGGAGGGAGTAATCTAAGACAAATAAATTAAACAAGAAAGAATGAAAGCAAAAAAGGATAATTATAATTACCTGTAGGGAGGATTTTGAGACGATGATTGCATGAAAACTTTTGTTTGCTTATGGAACTGTGAAGAGAGATGATCGGTGGATGAGAACAAGGCGGCCGCCGCCGCCGCAGCAGGGACGGAGTCGCCGCCGCGTGGGTCCCCTCTCTCCATCATTATCACACCGTTTTTACTGGTTCTCTTGTTCCTGCATCCGTTCATATATATCGAATTAATCAGCCAAAATCATGGGCTGTTAGTTTTACTGGTTCTTTTGGAGTAATTTTTCTTGACCATATATACAACTACACGTTTGAGTTTTTGACCGAGTTTCTAAAACTTACATTTTTGAACGGCACTCGACCGCCTCTCGGCCGGAACAAACTGGGGGGGGGGGGGGGGGGGGGGGGNAGGAGGAATAAGAAGGGAAAGGAGAGAGAAGAAGAAGAAGAAATGTGGAAACTAAAATTATTTGAAAGTGAGAGAAAACATAATAAGATGCCTGTCTCTAACCCCTTTAGCTGGCCAAGTATTTATAGAGACTTCCCTATACAAAAAGGATGAGCCTCATTTTCGAGGATCCCTTTGGATTCGTTGGAATAATGACTGAAATGAGCTAAATTGGATTTTGATACCTTGCTCCCTAACTGCCCACCCTACCGCAACAACCCCACCATAATACTGAGCAAAATGGACATAGGGGCAGGAGACATTGTGATGGGATGGACAAGTAGGGGGCAGGGGCTAGGGTTTAGGAGGAGGTAAGA